AAACCTGTCAGATAGCAGGTTCTGGATTGTTACGGGTCGATCATCCAGTCACGACTGTACACTCTTTAAACAGACCTCCGTGTCTGTACTTTCTGCTCCTCCGTCGTTCATGTGGAGGTTTGAACCGTACTGTTGAGTTAAAGGCACTGAACCAGTTTATTAGTGAAAGCCTTAACTTGATGTAACGTCCATGTTTGGACAGTGTGCTGATCTTTAAAACACAAAGCCACAGTTCACAGCAATCATTCAGCCGTGAAGACAAGCCACAGCGCTGCTCACAGACCCACTCACCTGTCTTATCCCAAACACTGCTGTCCACCGGCGCAGCGTCAGCGATGACTGATGTGTTTCTTCATCAGTTCTCCAGAAAAGCTCCGTCAGCAGCCAAAGTCTGAGTCCATTAATCTGACGTACAGCCCAGCGTGGGAACAGCTGCAGTGCAAACTCTGCTGTGTGACATCAATCAATTAGGAAAACGTTGCCTAATAGCTTCAAACCTGGAGAGCACTCCACGTTCACAACCTTGTGTTCTGTACCATGCCCAGCCTGAATACCAGGACCAATGAAGCTCTGTCAGGTACAGGTACAGGTTCTGTTGCAGTGAAAACGTTGTCAGTGTGAGGCCGCCTCAGAAATATAAGTCTGAGTTCAGTCGTCCTTTAAAGAGCCCGTATTCTGCACACTTATAGGTTCATGGTTTTATTTTTGGAGTCTATTAGAATACATTTACATGCTTTAAATCTTCAAAACACTACTTTTCTCATACTGCACATTGCTGCAGCTCCTCGTCTGTCTGAAACGCTCCGTTTAGCTCCCGTCTCTTCAAGACGCGCCTCCTGAAAAGCCTCCTCTGATTGGTCAGCTGGTGCGGTGAAGGCCAGGTAACATCGGTCAGTAACCGAAGACCTCCAAGCAGAAGAAGTTTCTAGTGAGGAAGACATGTCAGACTGCAGGACGGCTAGTTTGTCATTCAAACCAGCTGCTAGACAGGATTTATGTGTTCCAGGAGCTGTCTAGCTGTGTACTCGTTGTTCTCTGTTCTCCTGCAAATTCATACATTTAGTACGCAATGTTTCTGGACGGGCTGCAGATGTCTTGGTGGTTAGCATCGTCACCTNAGTCTCCACATGCAGGTGTTGTCTGAACAGTTGCTAACATCTTAGCTGCTGACCATGATTCAATGTTGAAAAGCACTTGAAGGAGAAAACTTCAAAAGGGGCTGAATACTTTTTAGAAGAACTGTATATTAGCTTGGTTAAAAATATGCATCTCTGGGTCTCTGACCTGCCAAATGACTGTGGGGTTACTGCAATGATGCTGTGCAGTGTTTCTGAACTCATTAGAGGTATCATCAGCTGGGTTGTGCATCTCCAATACAGACGGTATTTAGTAACCCCGTCCTTCAGCACACAGAGCTGAATATTTTTGAGGCCTTGCAGTTTATTTTGCTGGTATTTTCCCCCTCAGTCATTCATGTGCTGTCACTGGGATTATTTAAGACTTTCAACAAAGGTGATATAAGCATGTACACTCAACGCTCTGAATGAAGCGCAGCCTCACCGACCACTTGTTTGACGTTGTGTCGGTTGGTTTGGAGCTGACTCAGAGGAGATCAGTCAGACCTGGCAGCCTCCGTCAGGTTGGGTCAGTTCAACGTTTTGAAAAAGTGGAGGTGTTCTCAGGTAGTTTGCTCCTCCTGCTGCCAGGTTGTCACATTTCCTCGATAAACTTGTCACTTAAAAGAGAAAAACGCCATACTGAGGTGTACATACAGTTTGTTCTCTAGCAGCCTGGACGTGGTGTGAAGTCACAGAGATTAGAAATCAACAGATTTGATGTACTGTTCAGCTGCTACCTTCTGCTTTAAACAT